CATCTTGCTTCCCATGTGTTTAACATACAGGGTGTCTCTTTGAGATTCCAATTGAATAAAACTTTTGTTGTTGTTGTTGATGAAAAGAAAATATTTAAAGCCAGAGGTCACTATGGAATCCCCCGCAGTTTTATAAGTAATCTATGAAGGTTTTACAGCTCTAATCTCAACAGTCAGTTTCAGTCATGAGGTTTTTTTGTTTGTTTTTATGACGTGTCTTCTAGCCCAAGTTAGCTTTTTGTACTTTCATGGTGCTGAAGAATTAGTGAGGAGGAAAATCTACCCACCCGTCCATCAGAGGCATTTGGGGAATAATGAGTCAGTTTGAGATTGTATGTTTTCTAGGAGCAATTTAGCAGCAAAGCTGAGCCTTTGTTGAAATTGCCTTGACGATGATTGTTTTCTTTTCTCTTTATTAATACCTTCCCCAGTAGGGCCGGTGAGAGACACACGTGCTAAGAGTCATTGAACTTCATCGACCCGGGTTTTTATAGCTTGATGTTTTTCCCTTGAGAGGTTAGTTATACTGAAAACGGTTGCCTGGGGTGGTGACATGCCTCTGCTGACCTGCCGCTGACTTTTCCTAGGGGAGCCGGGATCTCAGATCGAGTTTTGGTCTTTCCTTTCAAAGCCTCCCCTGCAGCCTGGTCCTGAGGGTGCAGAGAACCGAATACAGCCCTGTGCACTCTCCCAATGTTGCCAGATACAATGAAGGGCACCCAGTTTATTTGAATTTCAGCTGAATCACAAATAGTTTTGTAGTATAAATGTCTCCCGTGCAATTACTTGGGACATACTTACAGTAAAACATCTTGCGGCTCAGCTGCCATGCAAGTGTAACTGCCACCTCTGTTTTACCTGGCAGCCCTACCCAGGAGTTAATAATTAACTGCCTTCCCAGGCATCTGCATCAGGTGTCTGCTGTTCCCATGGAGCTGCTAATCGGCTTACTTGTGCCCCTTATTAAGGTCAAGACCCACTGGTTGGGGCTCTGGCCTCTGCTCCTAGGGCCTCCTGGATAGAACCGGGGTGACATGGCCTTTCCCCATCTCCCCTCACCCCACTTCCAGGTATAATCCTGGTTCCTCTTCAGGCCCAGCCACTGGGCCCTTCTGCACTGAAGTTTGGTAGCAGATGTGCCTGAATGTGACCATTACCCCCAAAGCCAACATGAGGAAGACAGCAGGTGTCCCTGTGGATGAGGAGGTTTGACGGCAGTGGGTGCCAGGTGAGACTCAGAAATGCTCCCTCATCGTCCTCCCTGATTTGGGCTGGCAGTTTTGTTCCTGGAGATCGGTTGGGATTTTAGCCTGGCATAAATACCATCTCCACCCCACCCCTTTTATTCTGGAAAGAAGACCCCATGGTTACATATAAGGTGCTTTGTACACTGTGGATTATGGCACCCATGTTATGAGTAGAGAGTACGTGTTGGAGGCCAAGGCCACACTCCACCCCTTGTGGACTAATAGTGTATAATTGGTACACAGAAAATATATTTAACTTACAGAGTCTAAATATAATTTTAAAATACCGATTTTAAAATCCACCCACCCATCCACCCATCCATCCACCCATCCCGTCCATCCACCCATCCACCTATCCATGACCCAGTGATGACCCATCCACCCATCTATCCACCCACCCGCTCACCCATCCCATGGGTGCCATAA